AACAGAGGAGTAATTAATATGAAGTAATAATAATAACTAGTGGTATTTTTTTAAAAAGTACAGAAGTAAAATTACTAATTAATTGCTTAAAATAAATAATAGTATTAATAATAAGTGTTATTTTATAATAAGTGCTATTTTTCTAAATAACAATTAGTGTTTTTATAGAAAAGAGTGGTAAAACTAACAATTAATTTTTAATAATAATAGTAATAATAATAAATCAAAAAATTAATAATAATAATAGAATAAGAAAATAATAATTATGAAGTAATTAATTATAATAATTAAAAAACAAATAATAATAATTATAATAGAAGAAGAGAAAAACAAAAGAAAAGGTAAAAGAAGAAAAAAAACGGGGTGGGGGGAATGGAGGTCACTGGAACTCTGGAAGGCAGGAGAAAGAAGAAAAGAAGAAGAAGAAAAGAATGGGACCTGCCGGTCTTTATCCGAAAATAAGGGGTACCTGGCAGCAATTTTTTGAGAAGAAGAAGAGAAGGATAACGGAGAAGAAATGTTAACGGAGAGAATGACGGATTGTAACCCTAGAGTCAGTTTTCGAATATCTTAAGGTACCTCGGAGTATATTTTGAAAAACAATGTTTTTTGATCGGGAAGTGGACGGATAACCGGCCAGGGTCCAAGTATAACGAAAGGGAAAATGCTAGAGTCACAAACATATAGTTCACAAACTTCACAAAGTTGCCTTTTGTGGGTTTTAAATTAAAATATCTTTTATTATTTGAGTGCATCTTATTTATAGAAAAGTGTTAAAAAGGCAAGTTTGTGAATTTTGTCTACTTCTTGTTTGTGTTGTGACTCTAGCATTACTCTAAGACGAAAGCCCTCCTTAAACCCTAATTAACCTCCCCACTCTGCTCCGTTCGTCTGAATTCTCAGTTTCTCACCTTCCCAAACATTCCACCATTCCTCTCCCTCTCTCATATTATGAGATACTCCAAATTTCGTCAGTTATTTCGTGGCAAGTCATTACAATCATGTAAGCACATAATTGTATTCACTTTCAGATGAACTCTGTCTCGAGTGACTGGGAAATGCGCCAAAGGGATGCAGAAGTTGATGAGCAGAAATCCATTTGGTTTTCAAGCAAGTTTATCCCTTAGCTCTCTCCCTCTATCTTTCTCATTCGATTTTCTCTGTCTAGGGTTTTACAAGAACCCTCAAATACCTTTTTTCCCCTCTTTCCTCAAACCCAGCATTGCAATGCCCTCATTGGCCGCTCTCCAGTCCCTGCGCCACTCTTCTCTTCCCAATTCTACCGCCAGGTTCCCTTTCTCTGCCGGGGAAAGATTAGTCACAAAGACACTCTCTTCCCAGTCCATGAGTTGCCAAATTTGTCGTTGTTATCTCCCAGGTGTGGCTCCAATGAGGGCCTGGGCTTATCTTGAGCGCAAAAATTGGAGCGGGTCCCAAGCCAAGTTGTTCTCTACGGTTGCCGTGGCTACGGATAAGGGTTTACTTGCGCCAGAAGGTAGGACTGAGGGGTTGGAGAGTTCGAAACCGGATGCTGCCGCTGGTGAATGGAGCCCAAAGGATTTTAAGGAGCAGGAGGGAGAGAGGTCTCAACGGAGGCAGAGGAGTGGGAGCCCCATAGCCGGGCCATTACAGGGGAATCCAGATTTGCTAGCCATACCGGGTGTGGGACCAAGGAACTTGAAGAAGCTGGTGGAGAAGGGATTCGAAGATGTTTCCCAACTTAAGAAGCTATACCGGGATAAGGTATATCCCTATATGCTCTTGAAAATCACTTTGACGTTACATATATTATGCCCGAATGTTTAGCTTCATTTTCTAAGAATTGGTAGCCCCCCACCCCCAAATCCCACTGTCTGCCAAAAGAGTAGTGTTTTTTGTAATACTACGCATTAGTTTTGTATAGTCAGAAAGTGAGAGATATGTTGACTGGTTGAGAACATGGAATGCTGGAGGTGAAAGCAGGGAATATAGTCTGCTTTTACTGCCTTTTGTTATTCAATATTGGATGTTTAAATCTTGGGTTTTTATTTGCCAGCTCTATTTGATTATTTGTATTTGAAGGCCAAATCACACTTTCATTGTGTGTTCATTTTCTTCAACATTTTTTTATGGTTTTAATTCCGTGTTTTTCAGTAGGACAAATATTATAGTAAGTTTTATAATGGAAAGCAACTAGCTCAAGTCATTGTGATGGATGAAGTTTTGGAATTCCATCTTAATATCTTACTATTCCTGCCTATGAACTATGAAGGATGTTAAAGGAAGTGAGTTCACGGCAAAACTTTGCTACCATGAGTTAGTCGCTTGAATTTATTGACTTACATTGCAAAATGCTAAACTAATTCTGACACTGAATTTCATGCCACCCTAACATATTTGGGATTAAGGTGTTGTTGATGGTAATATTTTTTGGAACATCTAATGAGGTTTCTAAATACTCAGCATGTGAAGTTAATTAATTCATGGATACAAATTTTGATTGTTAAACTACCTATTGTAACTTCTTTTGTTCAAATTAGACTCTTTTTTAGGGACAAAAAATAAGTTTTCAGACCAGACTCTTTTTTTGAAACATGGGGAATATAGGTTTTGTAATTTTGAGAGATGGGTATCCTTTTGTGCACTGCAATTCAGCTTTTTTCCTTAATATGTATTATGTAGGAGGTGTAGGAGTAGCTAAGTAATGTTATTCTCTTTATGAAGAACCAACTTATTCAGTTCTTAAGTTAATATTAAAATTATGAACCTGGCTTTGTTTCTTGAGCACTAATGACAATGTAGCTGCTGTGCAGTTCTTTGGAACTTCAAGTGAAAAGATGGTTGAGTTCTTACAGAGCTCAGTTGGTATCATCCACAAAAACCATGCTGAGAGTATTACTACGTTCATTAAGAAAAGTGTGGATGAAGAGTTGAAGGACAGGGTTGATTCTGACATAAAGACTGCACAAAAGAAACGGATAACTTTCTGCGTTGAGGGAAATATAAGTGTTGGCAAAACCACTTTTTTGCAGAGAATAGCTAATGAAACACTTGAGCTACAAGACCTTGTTGAGGTAGTACCTGAACCTATTGGGAAGTGGCAGGATATTGGGCCTGATCACTTCAACATATTAGATGCATTCTACGCTGAGCCCCAAAGATATGCATATACCTTTCAAAACTATGTTTTTGTTACAAGAGTAATGCAGGAGAGAGAATCATCCAGTGGTATCAAACCTCTCAGGTTGATGGAGAGAAGTGTTTTTAGTGACAGGATGGTATGTATACAACACCTTTGTCTTTTTTTTGTTCTTTTTAAAGTTTTTTGCAACTTGTTGAAAGGCTAAGTTGAGATGGTTTGGACACGTAAAGTAACGTAGCATTGCGGTCCCAGTGTAGAGATGCCAGAGGCTTACACTAGAGGGTGGGGTGGGGGTGGGGGTAGACCTAGGAAGAATTAAAAAGGAGGTCATTAGACATGAACAAGGACTAGGCTGGTAATATAGGACTAGGCTAGTTGGGTAGTCATTTGGACCTGGGTGGTAGTTTTTGCTCTTGTCGTTGTGTCTTTTCTAGGCATGGGTCTTATTACTTGCAGCGGTTTGTATGCATTTTATCTCCTTACGCTTTTCTTACCCTTAGTTTGCTCTTTGCTTTTTTATCGTGCTATGTGCTTTCTATGTTGCTCGAACTGGGGCCTTTGGAAACAACCTCTCCACTTTCAAGTTGTATGCATTATGAGCTGTGTTAACTTCCAGAAGTGACCATAAAATAGACAAAAAGAAAATAACTACGGAAAAAATGCACTTCGTATTCTAATGTGTTTTGTTTTTATTTACTTGATTAAGGTCTTTGTAAGGGCGGTTCATGAAGCTAACTGGATGAATGAGATGGAGATCAGCATCTATGACTCATGGTTTGACCCTGTCGTTTCCACTTTGCCTGGTCTAATACCCGATGGTTTTATCTATCTGAGAGCAAGCCCTGATACTTGCCACAAGAGAATGATGCTACGTAAGAGAGACGAGGAAGGTGGAGTCTCCCTTGACTATTTGAGAGATTTGCATGAAAAACACGAGAGCTGGCTTTTCCCATTTGAAAGTGGAAACCACGGCATACTATCAGTCAGTAAACTCCCACAGACCTTTGAAAATAACTTACCTTTGGATATAAGGGATCGTGTCTTCTATTTGGAGGGTAATCGTATGCATCCAAGTATTGAAAAGGTAATGCCAATTACTATTGTTTCTTTTCTTTTTCCTTTCTTTCATTCTTTCGTTGTTTAAAAAATGAGCATTGCATATTACTTGTGGAGTATGGAGTATTTCATTCGTTTTTTTGTTGTACTTGGTGATGGATAGGTTCCTGCCTTGGTTCTTGATTGTGAGCCGAACATTGACTTCAATAGAGATATTGAAGCAAAGCGACAGTATGTCATTCTTTCTTCCTTGTTCTGTTCACATATTTCCTTAAAACAATTCCCTACCCCCTTATTCATTTTGCAGGTATGCGCAACAAGTTGCCGAGTTCTTTGAATTTGTGAAGAAAAAGAAAGAAGTAAACGCTTCTGGTTTTGGTGAAAAAGATTTGCCAAAGATTAATCAACCGCAGTTGCTCCTGCCTCAGAGAAAGGGAATGTGGGTGCCCGAGGGGAAATTCTCAGATTTCGGCCTAAAATCTTTGGATCTCAGGCGAACGATGTCCCTTTTGTCCCACTAGTGGGAGTCTTAGCAAGTGCCAAAATCCAATGCCTTGGGGAGGTGGTCTTCTAAGTCAATCTGCCTGTAAAAAAGTCTTAGTATTTGACTTTGCTTTGATCCCAAGGCGTTGTATTGTGGATGCTCGGGAAGGTGGAAGCTTTTGTAAAGTATCCCAGGTTTTTAGTCTGTTAGCAGTGAAAATGTAAAGAAGGTAATCTAGAGGAGTAGCTAGCTGTGGATTGATTCATAAGTGGAAGATTTCTACTCCCTTCGTCCCAAATTATAATGTTTGTTCACTATTCACAAGGTCAAACTTTATTCACTTTCTTTCTCTATTTTCGTAAGCAATTTGATAAAATAAAGTACTATTGTCACTACTAGTTTTGTAGATCTTTTGATGTAGTATTTTAATATGTAATTTTTATTTTTTTAACTCTATACCATTTGTCATATAAAATGATTTGAAAATAATTTCAGTCAAACATCATAAACCGAAACAGGCGTTATAAAATGGAACGGAGGGAGTAGTTTTTTTCTTATTAAAAAGTATCCTTGAGTATGAAATCTCTAATATGCTAACGAGAATATTGTCTTCTAACTATTGAGATGGTGATTGACTTTAAGGAACTAACTCGGCCAAATTTATTAAGAAGAACGAGAAATGTAGAGTTTACTTTGAAATAATCCGGGAGTGAAACTTTCTTTTAGGGTCATATGGAACTAGTTAACCCATTGTGCCCTAGGTTGGTGTGGATTTTGAAACTATCAACGATATGTGTACTCTAGACGCTCGATCCTTTTATATTTGGTGCTTGCTACGTGTTGGCACATTTGAAGCAAGATTTTGAAACGAAAAAATTGTTTTAACGCGGAAAATTGTTGATAGTGTTAGCGAGCGTAGACATTAACACTAATTATGAAACTAAATTTAAAAACAGTGAAACAATGTCATCCGCGGTGTCACTGTAGCCAACTCAAATGGTAAAAGGGCACCTTCTTATATGATTTGAAAGCGAAGAAATTTATTGCTCCTTGAGAAGCATAAAAATGGGAGGAAAAAAGGGTTGTCAGAACAATGAACCAGAAGACACCAAATATCACTACAGTACATTTTTAACAACAAATAGACTTGGAAATAGTGTCCAAAGTCTAAACCAGTGGAAAATGCACTTAAATTTCCACCAAAGAAAACAGAACACCATCCACCAATCAAGGGTCGTGATTTTGAAAATCAAAATCTTACAAAAGAAGAAAGGACTACAGACATTAAAAAAATAAAAAATTTAAAATAGTACCCACTAATGAATGATAATGGTCTTGTAAATAAACCTCATGTCTGGTTTTTTTAACAAGTCCAGGAAGATGACCTCTTCATTACAGGCTTCATTTGTTTGTCCTCCTCCAAGGATATCATCCCCAAGTGTGAAGGGTCTTCTAGCATCATCTTTGCCACCAGATATCCTGCAATCGACCACGTCTGGTGCTTCCTGGCTTGTTTCCCAATATATCTTCCGAGTTTCCCGTCATAGTATTCGGGCCACCCATCTTTGAGCAAGCGGCTCTCGGCTAGATCAATAGCCCGCTTTGCAATTTGAGGGCGTCCTGTTTTGATACAGGCTGCAGTGACCAGCCACAAGAGCACTGCAAATGGGGGTTGTTTGGTATTGTTACCTCTTTTCTGTTATCATCACCGTTCAAATGACATTGGATTTCAAAGTCATAGGATGACATCAAGCCCTTACAATGCTCTCCGTTGGAGCCAAAAGTGGTTCCTCCCCCCTCCCACCAGTTCGCTGACATGCAAAGGTAATTACTGTTGCATATCGGCAAAATGCAGGGGGGTGGGTCCTAGAGGGTAGGTACCACTTTGGCACTCCCAAGAGCACTAGAGACATGTCATTTTATGCCATTGGAGCCCAAAGTCAACGGAACCACACCATTCAGTTATATACTCCCTCCATCCCAAAAAACACACTTTCTTTTTCCTATTAAGGAATTAAGCATGTGGCTCACAGGCTTTCTCTCTTCTAAAACAAATTTCAATCACACATTATTACTTTTCAAACTGTTTTTTAAACTGTGTAGGTCAAACCATGAAGTTTATTTTGGGGGCAGAGGGAGTAGAGAAAAAATATGAGAGCACAAGTGAATTAGCTAAGCAGAAGGATATAGTAGGAGAAAAGAACCTGGCCAAGACCCTCCATTATGGTAACTCCATCTAGTGTTTTTAGGATCACAACCAGTGACTATTCGCCACTCATGATTTTCAATCGCGGGATAACAGATTTTCAAAGGCATTTCCCCGACGAGCTCCTCCCAGCGTGCTTCAATGAGGTCCATGATCGCAGTGGCTTGCTCTGGAGTGGCAAGAGATGCCAATATGGCAACACAATTTCCCAATGCAAACCATCTAAAATCCATCCTTGCAGGGCTGACATTTCCAACAAAGTAACCGCCGCGTGTAGGCACGAAATCAAACACCCAATCCGGGATTGAGTCCGGGATAACATTGAACTTATTAACCGCAGTGTGTGAATATTCTTCAGTCTTGAAACGGTATATGTCATTTAGTTGTTGGAAGTCAAGCCAGAAATAACTCCTCATGTGGTAACTCAACGCATGTAGCCGTTTTACTATTCTCTCGATACATTCTTTCCCTTCTGCATCATGCTTTAACATTGCCAAAGCACATCTCAATGCCATGAAGAATAGTGCTTGGATTTCAATAGGATAGCCATAAACTCCCTGAAATCCACAAAGGGAACACATTAGAGCCCGTTTTCAAATTAGGGGAAAAAAACTAGGGAAAGAAAATTGAGCGGTAAATAGGTAGAGATTTTGGAAGGGATGAAAATGCCCAACAAAATGAAAAGAATTGTTTCGAATAAATCAAATTTAGATATTTGTTCATACTCATTTCAGGATGTTTCAAACATATAAAGATTAATAAATGTAGGTGTATGCAAAATTTCAAAAGGAGGAAATCAAATATTCAAATACTCCCTCTCTCCCACAATTTTCAAAAATTGTGAAAACTTTTGTTTGTTTGTGTGTTTTCATTGATTATTTGATAAAATAAAATATTCTTGTCACCTCTTGTTTTGTAGAATTTTTAATGTACTTTTTAAATATGCAAGTTTTATTTTTAATTTCTATACCAATTTTTTAATAAAATGAATTGAAAAAACTTGGAATGTTACTTCGCTTTGCATAAAGTGCAATTCATTTAGGGACGGAGGGAGTATGATTCTCCTGTATACTTTCCTGGGTGAAATGCAACTTTGAAAAAACAATTGTTCCTTTCCATTTTTTCCCAACCATTTTCAGGATTACAAACATAGGCTCCGCTTGTATTATCATGTGTCGTCATATAAAGTTCTATCAATAACAAATGCAAGACCTGTAACAGTGCAATATAGAGAAGAGACAAGATGTACCATTCTTCTATCAATCATTGAGCATCCATCAGCACAAAGCAATGTAGGAAATGTATCAAATCCTTCTGACAAGCACAGAGTAAGTATTAGCCTCATTCCTTTTTGGCACTCTGGTCTTTCAGCAAGAGTCGTATCTCCAGTAGATTTTGTGTACGCACGGAGAAGAATTATCCACCAAAACCCAGAGTCAACTGGAGCTACCCTTCCAATTGCACTCTCACCAAAGTCAGCTATGACGGTATCGACCTTACGAACCGGATCATGAAGAACTTTGAAACTGGCCGGCATAACCCCTTCACCTAGCTTGAATCTGTCTACTTTCTTTTCCCAACCTTGAAGCAGAAGTGTTTTCAGCAGGAAATTCTTAACTATTTCAGGCTCACCATTCATTAGGAAGGCCAGTGCACTGGGTACAAAATCACGAACAAACACCTGCACACCATTCACGGTTTTCAACTATCAGGATGAAAAATTCCACTTTAACATCAAATTAGAATACATCAACAACAGACACAGTTTAATCCCAACTTCGTTGAGGTCTGGGGTCAAGATGTAGGCAATTTCAGCCTATGAAAAATGAATCTTTTAACATGAAATGAAAATCTCAATTAAAAATGTCATCAAGAACTTTGTCTTAATGTTACACTTCTTCACTCTACTCG